TGGAGGTAGGTGTGTTGGAGATAGTGAGATTGGCACAGGATAGGGCAGAGTTTAGGGCTGTTGTACATAGGGTCGCTATGAGTTGCAGGTGATTCGATGGCATGTAACAGCAACAACCCTACTTGTCCAATGAACTTGAGCAAAGGCTCTTAGCTCTGCTTCCAATGGTGTAGCAGTCTTAGGTCTTTTCTCATGCCAAGTCTCTGGTTCTCTGCTGTGGCTGCTAGGGCTGTTGATTATGCAGGCCCTCTCTGGCTTGCTCTTTTCCTGGAGGTGATGTTTATTCTTTTTGAAGCTAGATCTACTCAGTTTAATGATAAGACCAGTCAATCCCCTTGTGGATATGCTAATAAATCCTGTTTGCATATTCATGCCCATCCCCAGGACACAGTCCAGTTCAGTGGCTAGGAAAGGTGCATCAAAAAAATAAGCTCTGGGGGCTCTGGTGGCTTACATTCAAGAAGCTGCACTGCGATCCCAGTGATGTGTGGTTTGAATCCACCAGATGCTCTACTGGAGAAGGAGGAACAACTCTTCCTTTATTAGTCAGATCTTATTTGATGGTACACACACAAAAAATAATAAAGTAAAATTTTTTTTAAAAAAGATAAACTCCACACTAATAAGACCTTGTGGGTCTTATAGTTTGTTATAAAACAAAATGTATGTGAATGATTACAGGAAAATCCAATATATGTTGTATACTTTCACTCAGTTCAAATAAATAAGAGAAAAAGCAACTTGAATTGTACTTTTAATGAAGGATAAAGTAAAAGTATAAAACGTTAAAATAAAACATAAAAATGTGAGGCAAGAACTAGAAATGAAAAATGGCAGCAAACTGGAACAAAGTGCTAAAATGGGACAGAGCTATAAGATGATAAATGCTTTTAAAAGAAGGTAAAAATGTCTTCTCCACAAAGATAAAGAATAAATATGTTTGAATGTAGGCGAGCGACACACTGTTGATGTGGGTGCTCTGAACTGGAACAGCTTAGCTAGCTCCTGGCCCTCAGCAAAGGCTCTGGAGTTAAGACTGCAGTTCCTGTTGTCAGCAGTCTTTTGCACAGTGCTCCCGGGCACAGAGCTGGTGCATTTAGGTATGTGATTTAGGTCATCCCCTCCACTCCTGCAGGGTCTGGGTCTTGTCTCCATACTCAAGTCAAGGAAGTAAAAGTTTGGTTAAGTACAGAGCCTAGCTCTGTTCTCAGATGGTAGAGCTGGAGTCTGCCCCCAATGTGATGCGTTTGCACATGTCCTGATTCCTGACCCTTTTCCTTCCTTAATGAAGACATTAACTTCAGCATAACAAAAGACCAAACCCACTGTAGTTGAGTCAATTCTGACCCAAAGCAAACCTAGAGAATAGAGTAGAGCTGCCCCATAGCAGAGGCAGACTGCCCCTACTTCTGCTTGGAGCAGCTGGAAGGCTTGCACCACCAACCTTTGGGTAAAGAGCTGAGTGTCTAACAAATTCACCACAAGGGCTCATTCATCATGAACAAAGACACTAGCAAAATCCTAGACTTCACGCTTCTTCCTCCCTTGTCAGGATTGCCTCCCAGATTAGGAGAGACTGCCTTTGTTAGCACACAGTGCAGTAAAGTGAGGAGTGTTGTTGTTAGGTGCTGTTGCATTGACAAGTCATAAGAACAAATTGTTGTTATATGCCATCAACTCGCCTATGACCCATAACAACCCATAACAACAGCTCTGAAGTCTGCCCTGTCCTGAGCCGGTCTCACTGGCTCTGACACACCTATCCCATTATGCCAGTCACTGTATCAATCCATCTCATCAGGGCTTTTCCTCTCCTTTGCTGTCCTTCCACCCTTTCAAGCATGATGTCCTTTTCCAAGGATTGGTCCCTCCTGGTCACGTGCCCAAAGTATATGAGATGGAGCTTCAAAACCCTAACCTCCAAGGAGGAACTTGGTTACACCCCCTCTCAGACTAACTAATAAGCTACTGGAATGTTTAGTAAATTTTTGTGTCTTCTCCCCCATTTTTTAAGTTATGTACAATAAGAAGACATCAAAGGTCATCCATCAATGTTAAAACCTAGCCCATTGCTTTTAAGTTTTGCTCTCCATACCATTGTAGGAGGCACCTCAGCAAGGTTCTCAGCGACTAGGTCACAACTATCGCTTTTCTCACAGTCTTCGATAACATGCCTCTCATTTTCTTCAGAACACTTACCAGAAGCACCTTCAATGTTCATACTTCTACCAGAAAATAGGAGAGTAAATCTCGTTCTGCTCATGCTGTTGTATGTATTCTCTGAGATGCTGGAAGCTTTCTACGTGCTACTCACTCCCCCTCAGCCCTTCCTAGCGAAGTCCCTAATGTGTGTGTCTCTAACAGTGGGGTTGGAAGCAATCTATGCCTTTTCTATCGTGCACCTGAAATTGCATCAATTACCCTGTAATAACTTGCATCTGAAAATTCTTCTAGCCTCTACCTGCTACAAAGCCACTTACATTTTTTTTTTTAGATATTTGTTACAACAACATCCCCAGTTCCTGGTGCCAGATTCTGTGTGGTGGCTTCCCGTGGCTGCCACATATTTGGTGGCTTAAAAGAGAAGAAATGTACTCTCTCATACTTCTGGTGAGAGAGAAAGATGGGTAGCCTCCTCCTATATGATTTGCAGGCCCTGAAAATTCAGTTGATGGTCGGCTATGAGTTGATTGCAACTAGACGGCAACAACAACAACAATAGCAACCTGGTTCTGGCCACATGTCCAAAATCAGTGTAACTGGGACAGAATGAAGGCCTTGTCAGGCTGGTTCCTTCCAGCAGTTCTGTGGAGAATCTGGCTTCTGGTAGCTGCCAGTGTCCCTTGGCTTGTAGCTGCATGCTTCAGTTCCCTAAGCCACTGTCTTCAGATCTCTCTCGCTGCTTCATCTTCCTATCATCTCCTCTTCCACATAGATCACATCTTCTGCCTCTTTCTTACACAGACATTTGGGATTACATTTAGGTCCCTCCCCTGTAACCCAGACCAGTGTTCTTATTTCAAGATTCTAAACACAATGACCTCATCTGCAAAGGCCCCTTTCTTGCCACTTGGAGTTACATTATGAGGTTACAGAGATTATAATGTGGGTATCTTTGGTGGGCATTTTCCAGCTTAAACTCTGAGACTTTTGTAATAGTATCCCCTGGCCTCTGCTATAGCCCACACAGTTTTAAACAGGCAGATACTATCCCATCATGGCCTGCCTTAAAGCTGTCAGGCATGCGTACTGAACCTCAAGAAGAAATCTTAGTTCTCTGATAGGACAAGTGATGCCTTTCCCTTTTATGCTCTGCCCCAGCCAGTGCTTACTCAGCTCCCTCCAGTTCCTCTGAGAAGCCGAATTCGTGGCCTCCTCTGGTCCTTGTGATGTCCTCTGCCTGCAGCTCATTCCTGTTTTCTCTCCTTGGTTCGGCTCATTCCAGTTCATCACTTAGTTCTTACATTTAGGCTTCACTTTCTCTAAGAAAGCATCACTTTCCCCTGTAGTCAGCAGCCCTTTCTGTGCATAGTATTGCAGAGCTTAAAATAGCTGTCAAGGATCCAGCTTGCTCACAAGGTGTGTCCTTACCTAGCACAGTGCCTTATTTACAGTCTCAAACTCATTGCTATCAGATTGGAACTGACTTATAGCTGACACTCCAGTCGGTTTTCAGTGGATTTTGAAATCACATGAGAGGATATTGCTCATCTTTCTCTCTCAGAGCAGCTGGTGGGTTCGAACTGCCTGCCTTTAGGTTGGCAGCACACCTCTTTACCCAATAGGCCACCAGTAGGTGCCTAACAAATATTGTTAAATGAACATATCCATAGGAAGGGAGCCTCTCTACCTAACTGAGAAGAATATGCAACAGGGATCAGAAATGCATATGAACAAGTATTGCTGGATAGATAAAGTGAATGCCAAGAACTCCTACAGGTCTTTATTTTTAAGCAAAAATCCAGGATTATGTAATTATGAGACAGAATACAATATTTTCATCCTTCTTATTCTGTTTTCTTTCAGACCATCCCTGTGTTTCTCACTCTGCATAATGTAGCTGAAGTTATCATCTGTGGATACCAGAAGTGTTTTCTGAAAGAGGTAAAAATGATACTGCAAAAAGGCTGTTTTTATCTCCATTGCTTTACACTTTGAAGAAGTTCTTATTTAATGGCCCAAATCAGTGTGTACCTTTTTCAGCCACCAATTTCCATTGCAGGGCTGCCTGACAGTGGTCACTAGTTTCATTTACCATGGACATGACATCCCTGTCTTGGAGGAAATGCAGCTAGGATGCTCCTTAGAAGCAAGGATGGTGAAATCTCATCTTTATATACTTTGGGCATGTTATCAGGAGGTGCTGGTCCTTGGAAAAAGACATCATGCTGGGAAAGGTGGAGGGGCAGGGAAAGAGAAGAGATGATCCGACTCAAGAACTGTAACCATGGGCTCGAACATATTAGGTGTCATAAGGATGGAGCAGGATAGTGCAAAGTTCAGATCTGTTGTTTATAGGGTCACTGTGAGTCTTAGTTTATGTAATGGCACACAACAACAACAACAGCAACTACAACTCAGTTGTTGCTTTCTTCGAATGCTTTTTCATATGAACAGAGCTCGGCTCCACACCAGACTAAGCCAGATCCTTGGATGTTGCTAGCAGCAGTGCCCCTGACTGAGTGGCCCCATGTACAAGAGAGCCAGACTGCTGTGATCTTTAGGGTTTCATTGGCTGATAGTCAGCAGTGATCTCTAGGCCTGTCGTTCTACTCTGTTAGGCTAGAAGCTCCCTGAAACATGCTCAGTGTTAAAATTCACAAGCCTTCCACTGGCAGAGACAGGGCATGAGATACATTGGTCAGGAATGGAATCCACTCTCCCACATGAAAGGTGAGAGAGAGCCTCAACTTCCAGTTCCTCAGTGATAAAAGTGAACTTGCTGTGGGCCTAGTGAGAGGTGCATAACCCCAAGAGCTAATCTTGGCATCACAGATTCGGAATCAGGTCCTAGCTGTCTTTGTCTGCTCTGGGGAGATTCACTTTTCCCCCAATCGCAGATCTAACTCGTTCCAGCCACAGCATGTTCCTTCACTGTCTTTGTCTCTGTGAATCATTGTAATGGTGCTCACTTCAGAAAGTTCCTGAGGAAAAAAATCAAAAGGAAGGAAAAATGACCATTGACTCTGTAACCCAGCATCTCCAACAAATTGGGGGGGTGGGGGAAACCAGCAAGAAAACCTGACATCCTCTAAAAAAACTAAAATTATAAACATTAGCAAAGAAAGAAATGAAATAGAAAACAGAAAAACAATTGAAACCATCAACAAAACTAGGAGTTGGTTCTTCTAAAAGGTTAATAAAATCAACAAACCACTAGCAAAACTAACAAAGAAAGAAAAAAAGACATAAATAATCCAAAAAAAGATGAACTGGGCAACATCACAACAAAATCAATAAAAAGACTTATAATGGAATATTATTAAAAACTATGCTCAAACAAATATGAAAACCTAGAGGAAATGGACATATACTTAGAAATGCACAACCTACATAAACTGACACAAACCAAAATTGAACACCTAAACAGATCCATTACAAAAGAAGAAATTGAAAAGGTAATAAAAGAACGTCCAGCCAAAAAATGCCCTGGACCAAATGGTTTTATAAGTGAATTTTATCAAACATTAAGAGATGAACTGTCACCAATTCTCCATAAACTATTTCAGAGAATAAAGATAGAATTCTTCCAGACTTATTCTATGAAGCAAACATGTCCCTGATACCAAAACCAGGTAAAGACACCACCAGAATAGGAAGCTATGGGCCAATATCTCATGAACATAAATGCAAAAATCCTGAATAAAATCCTGGCCAATAGAATCCAATGATACATCAAAAAAAGTCATTAACCATGGCCAAATGGGATTCAAAACAAATATGCAAGGATAGTTCAACATAAGAAAAACATCACATTAACAAAGCAAAGAACAAGAAACACATGATCCTATCAATTGATGCTGAAAAGGCCATTGACAAAATCTAGCATCCTTTCCTGATTAAAACACTTATCAAAATAGGAATAAAGGGGAATTTCCTCAACATTGTAAAAAGTATATATGCAAACCTGAGAGCCAACATTGTTCTCAATGGAGAGAGATTAAAGGAACTTGGAGGACAGGAACTAGGCAAGGATGCCCACTATCACCTCTCCTATTCAATATTGTATTGGAAGTCTTAGTGATAGCAATAAGACAAGAGAAAAAAAATAAGAGGTATCCAAACTGGCAAAGAAGAGGTAGAATTATCTCTCTAAGCAGATGATATGATAGCATACTTAGAAAACCCTCAAAACTCAGCAAGAAAACTCTTGGACACAGTTGACCAATTCAGCAAAATGGCAGGATACAAGATCGACATACAAAAATCAGTTGGATTTTTCTACAGTAACAAAGAGAATGCAGAGCTGGAGCTAAGAAAAACAATACCCTTCACGATAGCTAATCACAAGATTAAATACTTGGGAGTAAATCTGACTAGAAACACAAAGGATCCATTCAAAGAAAATTACAAAACTTAACTACAAGAAACAAAGAGAGACCTGGAGAAATGGAAGAATATACCTCGCTCTTGGATAGGAAG